GAAGATTACCTCGCCCTCTACACGTATCCACACCTCGGGATGGATTCCAACACCTTGGAACTTGTCTGCTAGGACTAGAGATCTCGATCTCTCTTGTGTGCAAGGTTTTTGGAGGCTTAGGGTTTTATTTTTCAAAGCTTAGAATCTAATTCTAAACTGAAAAATATGTATTAATTTTTCTCCTTCTTTTTCTTTCTTCTTAAAACCCTAGAAGACATTCTCCTTATATAGACTTTCCAAAATCCTAATTTGACAAGGAATAGATTACTAGGAATCCTAATCTAATTAGGTTGAATTAGGGTTTTAATCTCTTTCTTATAAAGTGATTTAACCCTAATTTCGGTTTAATTTCGGAAACACTGAAGCCCGGAACGGACGGTCCAGAGATACACGCGGACCGTCCGTTCCAGCACGTGGAACGGACGTTCCGCTCACGTGGACCGTCCGGTCTGGTTCGGGCGGACCGTCCGTTCTGGACTTTCTGGTCCGTCCGTTCCAGCCCCTTCCGTCTCGGTTTTTCGTCGTTTTCTCTCGTGCATTTGTCCTTCCCTGTGTGTCTGATCCTGTAGGCTCATTCGATATAGCAGTATAATCCAAAATCTCTATTCTGGATATACAAGTCATAGGCGGTCTCTAGCAAGACACTATGACTACCTATCTCGAATAGAGTTTGTTTGTGATCATACGAAAGCCAGTGATGATTCCGACTGATGATCCTTTTGTATCGCGATATCATATGTCGAACATAAAGCATGGACAAGCCACTTTATCTGATTCGACTGCTTTCTCGTTCACTGAGTTCGACTGTCTGAAATAGACGATGTTCGTCTATAGTGCGGCCACACATTTCTACAGTCTTGCTCACACGAGGGGCCCAGCGATATCTCTCTCTTTTACGAGAGGTACAAATCCCGTCTTGACTATCTACAATCCAGTACATGATTCGTTTCGTACCTGATACACGCCTTTATAGTCCTCCTGTTACGCAGGACGTTTGACGTAATCAAAGCACGCAACTCCTCATGTTGGATTCTGTAGATATCTCAGGTCTTAGGATCCAATCATGGAATCGTCGTATGAGATTCAAGTCATGACGCTAGTCCATGTGACAATCTCATGCGGGTCAGTCCAGTATTCCATTCTGCAACGAATACCTATGATTGTGATCGTATCCAATACCTATGATCATCTATGTGATCATCAATCACACATCATACTAGTCTTATTATGTCGTTATTCCCGTAATGACACAAGACTAGGGAGTTTAGTATCATTCATAATGATACATGGATTTCATAACAGATCTAGCATGTAGGAACATGTAATGAACAAGATACTCTCATAAAAAAACATATAGAAAGTATCAATACATCGAATGTATCTGAACAAAGCTCATAATCAGTACATCATAGAGCACTAAACCAACACTCGCAAACGATTTTGCCTGGACTGTTGCGCCTTGTGTTTGACACGGGCATGAATGAGATGTTGACTTTACCTACGTGTGAGATATATATAAAGACAATTGGCGGATTATAATTGAGATTGTTGATTGACTGCACGATGTTTGACTTGAATGATATATCCTCGTCACATGTATACGTATAGTATTAACTATATTGCTTGACCGTTTTCAATAAAAATAGACATTTCGGGTTACACCGGGATTCCTCTCTAAGCACATAGCTTAGGACGTTGTTATGCAACGTTTCAGATCAGGAGCATCAGTAGTGACCGAGGTAGACACGGGACCCGGTGACATCACACTATCAAGATCATGTATAATTATTGTGTCGTACTTTATTTTTGAAAATAAAGAGTGGTGATCTTTAGACTTTTGTATTATACATTCACCACTCGTATTATATACTGGTATCATTGCGTACGTGTACAAACGTACTTATGTATTTTGTAACGTCTTCCGCTGAATTATAATTAAAATAAATGTTTTAATCTTCCCGCGATTTTACATTTCGAAATTTTTCGATTGTAATTTTATTTGTCCATGTGGTACAACCGTAAGCGGAACGTGGATGTCACAGTTTTTATTGAAAAAAATACTCCAATTATTTTCAATCTGTTCGGATCAATCTTTTCAATTTTAAAAATATATCTATTTAGTTTTTATATCGGATTTAGTTTGATTACAATTATATATTATTTGCTCCGAATCCTTTCGATCATTATATTATTAACCAAATAAATCATCTCTAAATTTACCTACTTATACAATTCTACATTTATTGTTTTTGGATTTTTTTTATTAGAAAATTTGATATCGGTTTCAAGAGAATAAAAATTTGAATAATCTGAACGGCGATGATAGATGAGATTATTCAAGTTGTGAGGGAGTACATGAGTGCCGTGAAAAAAAAAAAAAAAAGAGAATGGGAGAGATACAAAATGTCTAATCAACGATGCATTTTCTTGTATTTCGTTTTTTTAATTTATTCGTAAACTAGGTAATAATCTGTAAAATAGTTAATAATATGTGTGGAATAAAATTTAAGTATGTATTTTTTAAAGAATTATATTATAAATTTTAAAATTAAATATAATATATTTTGTTTTTGATTTTATAATTTATATTTTTAAAGTATCAAAATAATAAAATATTAATATTTTTTAAGATGCATCGTAAATAGTTTGTGTTTATATTTTTGTGGTTTATAATCGTCGTATATAATATAAATTTTAACTAGTTTATGTGAATAATGATTTTGTATTTAATTTTATGGGTAATTCAAATTTTTTATTTTGAATATTTCAACTAAATACCCATAAATTTTGATACGTAAAATCCAACTTTACGAATTTATATGATTAACAATATTTACATATCATACATGACATTAGTATTAAGATGTTATAACTCGAGTAATCATGGCTCCTAAAACATTGTATGAAGAAGAAAATACCTACAGTTTTATAAAAATACCCCTGTAGTTTTGAAGTGCTACAAAAATACCCAAGATATAAAAAGGAATTAGGGTTTCATTCTCTTGATCTTCGTGTCCATGTATCACGATCTCCTCTCAGAATTTCATTCTAAAACTTCATCGATCGCGTTGCTCCCCGTCGTCCTCCGATCGCCGGCTCAGTCGTCTTCCTCATTTACTAGTACCCGCTATCTCTGAATCTCCAGATCTATCGTGGAATCTCCATATCTATAAGGAATCCTTCGATTTCCGTCGTCCTCTT